TAATGATAGTTTACTATTATATTCAAGGAAGCCGAGAATGAAACGAACCTGTAATCAGTAGAAGAAATCTGCCCGGATCAAAGCCAACTGTGTTGTTCGCCTCAATCTCCAGATAGTAAGACTCGCTCTCATAGATGTAGGTTGGTATGAAATCAGTGTTTGATTCACAGCCAATGGTGGTAGTTTTTAATCCATCCTTTATCGTCAGTGATTGACCACACACTCCAGCATTAGATGTAAACATTAGATTAAGAGCTCGAACACGTAGTTTAGATGCACAGGAAGAGGCCACTGAGCATGTGTAGGAAGAGGATTGTGTCATATTTCCATCCGGATACCCAGTGTTCCAAAGAAACACTTCAGCATTATCTGTAGTACTGGAATTGCCGCTGACTGTCTGTATATCTTTTTCTAAACAGAATAAGTGTTCAGATAACAATTAACCCATGAAGAATGTAAACATCAGTAGCCCGTTGCTTTATTTTTTCTGTACTTATTTTGTAAAATCTAAATTAACCGAATAATAACATTATGACCACGTTCTCAAGTGTGAAACTTGTAACTTACCTGCCACGCAATAGAAATAGGCCACCATGTAATTTGTGAATTCTAGGTAATTGGTGGTAGTGTTGCAGTCTGGCGTCACTTCCCAAGCAACAGGTGTAGTAACACAGGTGGTCTTACCATCACAATTCTTGTAATATTTTTGACTACCATCTCCTTCATACTTTTTTCCACAGTCGTTCTTGTCAAACGCACAACAGGAAGAAGGCACAGATACTGATGTCACTAGGTTTGGACAAGCAGAGGAGAGAGGCTTGGCATAGACGTACAGAGAATTCAAAACAATAATTTTTCCAGGAGTACATGACCCTTTAATGACGTTTTCCTTCCTGTTCCCGTAGCAGGCAGAATAGCTATTGAGTTGGACGCCATAAGCTAGTTCTGCAAAATTGAATTTGGGAACATTACTTCTTCTTTGTGTTTATAAGGTTCGAGAAAAGACGATGGAAAGGCCAATTAAATAATCTTGTCTGTCCTAATAGCATTATATAGTTTAGCCCAATTTTGCTTGAACCAAGGTTTGATTTCCATCACATTTGCAGAGGGACCGTGTATCTCCATTTTGGTAGAACAAAAACGAAAAAAATCTAGTGGCTTTCGTTCTATAGCCTTTTTAATCTAAACGGACGGAGATATATGCATATAACATATCTATAACGACTTATTTGAAAGTTCCGTATTGTCAGCCTGTCTTAGGATAATTCTATTATTTACCATCTTTTATCTATTTCTTATGAAATCGTCAGTGTTTGAGATAAAGGGAAAGAAATTGTATATGTTGACCTTATTGTATGATCATTATTTGTCACTTAAAGAGGAATCTAATATTTTCTATTTTTAAAGTTTCTCTAATATCTTTCAGCTTAATTATCTCTCTCCTCATCACGATGTGATACAGATTATGATTAATATGATAAGTTTTCTACCTTACCCATCACCTTTACTCTTCTCTCTCCACCAATTATTCATTCATGAATCATGTCCATACAGCAGTAGTAAATAATTCGAAGTGCACACACACCCTCACACACTCCCTCACACAAACACACACACACACACACACACACACACACACACACACACAGAGGAGAGTCTGATTTACACTTAAAAACATAAATTGCATGCATGACTCACTCTCTCCGTGTAATTTTGTGTTTAAACATGTGGTGTCTTGTCTTATGTATTTTCAAACTTGTGCCAAATATCATTAAATTGTTCAATACAATATGTTTAAATCAGAATATACAAGAAACAACAGTAAGACAATGAAACACATTTGTACAGACCACAATTTTACTGATATATGGTCAATTCATTGATTTCATGCATAAAGGTCCATGAATCGGCTGGCATTGGGTAATGAATTAAGGATACTCAACATTATTTTCATTCTTCGGATTCCAATAGGTATACATGTTCACGCAATCTTATTCCCGATACGACCAAAAGAAAGATTATTGCATACAAGAGTTACTAAATACATCTTTTATTGCTTAGATGTAATATGTATGTGAAATTAATGCAAATTTATATGATGATTTCCTTGCTCTTTTCATAAAGTTATGTAGTAAAATAATCAGTTAACGATTAACACTATGGTTTATCAAATACTTACCAACCAAAAGAGGAACCCATGCTCCTATAACAAGCAGTCTCTGCACGCCTTTTATCATGGTAGCCATGAATATCCGTCAGTATTGTAAGCAACCAAAGAACATTCTGCATAACAGTGCCGTAATGGTTTATTTTTAACTGTGTGTAGTCATCGACAATATGAAATGTTAAAGTAGTACAAATACCGACACCGCCTACCATCTTGGCCACTAGCCGCCAGGAACCACCTTTAACGAACCAAAGCACCATTTTTTACTTTTACCCCCAAAAGAGAGTGTTTTGGTTTGTTAACGGAGCCCAATCATGTTTGTATTTTTATAGCGCCACGTTCTGATTTACAATGGATTTAAAATAGGTCTATGATATCAAGGGGAATTCCCACTACATGCTTATCTGGTACAAAAAGGACTGGTTCAAGAAAACGTCATGGTAGATATGACAGAATACATGGACGATGGCATTAGGGATCGCAAAGCGATCAGAATGGCTTTTAAAAGAAAAAAAAAGAAAGAAACGAGACAAGTAGAGCAAGATGTATTTACCATTTTTCATAAGATACTACAAGAAGGATTTCCCTTCACGTTTTATTAATCCAAACAATAAAAAATGGACATTAAGAAGGATGATATCTTGAAGGCGAAAGCCAAATTGAAAACTAATGGAAAAGGCCGAAATGGCTTCAATGGCTTAAGAAATCCAATTCCTGGATACAGGCATATGTCAGTACCGTATTGCTCTGATACAGTTGTAATTTCTATGTTTCGAGGTATATATATACAAAAGTAGGTCATCTTTACAAGAATAAGTGTGGGATCACTCTCCAACCGCGTTATGTTTTCCTTGTAGTTTATTCCAGAACCTCTTCGATTGAAACGTGTTGCATTCGGAAACCACCAGACGTTATTTCCGCTATAAACTCATACATTTGGGTTATTGCACCGCCTTAGGGTAGTGATAAGAGTGTTTAAAGCGGTTTCCCATTTGGTTCCAGGGTGAAGGTAAGGTTTACCTATGCGGCAGAACGGAGTCATATGTTGGTACTTTTGTACTACTTGCGGAGATGCAGTGTAGAGTTAGCATGAAATTCACCTTAGAAACGGTATACATGACGTGGACATCGCTATATTCGATCACCGGAACCTGGATCTACCTTTTTAGGTCCTGATTGCCGTGTTAACATTTATAAATTAATAAACAATGTCTGATATAGGTAGACAAATTAATGTCATAATTTATCGATATATTTCAATCATTCGTATATTCCTGCACGGCTGTGTATGCCATGTAGGCTAAGGCTTGAAAGTGTGATGTACCGAATGATGGAAATATACTACATAAGTAAACGAACATTTACAATTACATTCGTATACTACGGGAACGTATTAGGCTCATGTACGGTAACATTTTACGTGATAACGGAAATATAATATTTGGCGGCCGCCACTTAAAGATCTGGCGGCCGCTACATAATGATCTGGCGGCCGCTACATAATGATCTGGCGATCGCCATTTAATTAAATTAATTAATTTAAATAAAAAAAGAAATAAAAAATAAAAAGTAGTGGCCGCCAGATAATTGAAAGGCAATTGTCAGATAATTAAGTTGCGGCCGCCAGATAACTATGTAGCGGCCGCCAGATCATTATGTAGCGGCCGCCAGATATTATATTTTCGTTATCACGTAAAATATTATCGTACTTGAGCCTAATACGTTTCCGTAGTATACTTTAAATACATAAATATATGTTTAGGTACATTACTTGAGTTTATGTTTACATTAACCCTCAGGTTGTCCACTGGAAATGACGTCATCTTCTCAGCACACCTTTCGTGACAACCATTACGGAATGAGGTATGAAGAAGCAGTAACCAATTATATATATTATAGTTTACTATAGGAAACAGAAAACTGCATATGACCTTTAGAAACAAGGTACACAAGGCACCGACGCCTCATAGATACTGCCATCCTCCATACTCCAGGGGTTACGATCAATTTTGCTTCCTGCGCGCCTGGAACATTTCCTGTCAAATTGAAGGCAAAAGCGATGTAATTCGATAGGTCTAGAGTGGAGTCCAGGAGAAAAGGCAAGGACCAATCACAGACCGGTACAGTCCTTTGAAGATTACAAATGAGCGACACACAACTTCAAATCCAAAAGAACATACCATTTCGCGACCTTAAGATGTACATGAAGGATCAAACAAGTCTTTCAGTCTTGTCCACAAGATGTCGTACATGGGACTGTCAGTTTCGTCATGAAATGTTCCAGAGATGCAGGAATGATGGTGAGCGTAACTCATGGACTAGCGAGGATGGGGTAAAAGATTATTGTAAGAAGTGAACAATCTCAACCAAGCTCATAGTCTGGTAATCATCTTTGGTTCCTACTCTCATAAAGTGTCTAATGACCCCATTACTGATGATAAAATTTACCTACTATATTACTGATTTGAAAGCCACATGCATGTGCCCAACAAGTTAATGTTATGATTTTGTTATCCTGAATAAATAAATCTTTCAACAAAAATATTTGTAGAACTTTTTTAATTCTGTTATCAATTCTTACTTTTGTGTCAAGTTTCTCCTTTTATTTCTTTAGCCAGTTGAAAAATTCGAGAATAAAAATTTTAGATGAATCGATGGGATTAAAACACCTAAATAAGATAACTTTCTTTGAAGAAAATCCAAATATTTGTCATAGCGAGCATCAGAGTGCGCTTTGTTTGGTCTGACAAAGTTATTTGAATTACTTTTTAAATGAATAATGTTTATGTTTAATGAATGTTCACAGAATTCATAGAAACATAATATCGCAGTAGACATAGAAAACACCATCATTTATTATCCATTATATATGTATCAATATTACCACAGGAACACAGAACAATAAGCATAAGAAAAGTACATACAAACTAGCTCCAACACAATTAAAGTCACTGTGATATTACTTTATACTTCAGTCATGTTAGTGAAAAAATGGGAAGGACAATTTTTCAGCTGGTCACTGGGGTTATTGCCATGTGCATCACAAGTGTCATTTGAGGCAGTATTTCTATGTAGAAGCTTTAAATATCACGCGGGATGCCCCCACCATGCTATTCTGACCAACTGGAGAACATTATCCTTGCTAAAGACACATCGCAAGAAGACAAAAACAGATCCTGATCTTAGCTTCCTGGTAAATGAAAAAACTGTCAAGGGTAGGCATCGATCCCTAAACCTTAGAACTTCATACAAGGTTTAATTAACATGCTTTCCTGATTGAGCTATGTTGGCCCATTGGTAGAGCACAACCCACTCCTTAGCTGTAGCTTTTTTCTTCAGCATGGTTTATTTGTATGTGGAAACATGCATAAAGCAATATGTTGCATCATTACTGATGAATGCCTGTTGCAAGTGCTGATAAATAGCACTGACAATGTCACACAATATTCCAACTAAAAAATGTACTACAAATCAAAGCATGTTCATCATATATTACAGTGAGATACTGTTTTTCTACCTTCTGAGAAAAAGAAAACCATTTCCATTCAGTTACAAAATGTACCTTCATGACTTTCTATGGTCCTAATCAATTACAGTTTAACATCAAGTAATTTGTGAATATTACACTTCCAGTACTTTCTCAAAATCCACATGTATTCATCCTAGTATGCATGGTCAAATTGGTCCATCTAGGAATGAGCACCCAGCCTAAGAGTGTTGTAAAAGTCAACATCTTCAGTCGCTAAAAACACCAAATCTAACTTTGAATTATCTGGTTCATGGTCACCCAGTGTTTTAGTTTCTGAACAGTGCAGTAGCAAGCTGTAAAGACTTTTTTCATCCCAATTGCGCCCTGTTTGGCTCTATATGGTAAACTTTCACTTGTTGATCTCCGCCCACAGCCAGCAGTGGGTGGGTATAGTGCCAACTCATTCCATAGGCCACCTGTTGGCTTGTACTCAAGGGAACCTGCAAGATATCAAATACCAAAACAATTTTAGTTGTTTGTGATATCATGAAAATATTTCTGTATTGAGGGGGTCAATTCAAGATAATGGTTTCTATCATCTACCATAAAATCATATATTTTTTGGGGGCTCAAATATGATGGTTTTCCAAAAATATACTTTTCTTATTCGCACTTCATTTTCTGGACAGGTCTTCCTCAAAATATCCACAAATACTATCGACCATGTCAACTGTGATCAATTAGTTTATCATTTCGTGGACATGTCAATTTTGGGATTTAGAGTACACACAGATTCTACATTCTACCATTGTTGGTACAGATAAAATAAGGAATGTCTAAGAAATGGAACAATCAGTGCTTGACAATTTTCACAGCTACAAACCATTGTGTGAACATCAAAATCAATATGACCACAACAGATTGTTCAAAATTTTGTCCTTTTAGGCAACACATAATGCATTTCACAATTTTTTCTGAACTTATTGTGGTTATAGTGGTACTTTGACTAGAAAATGTTTTACTTAGGGTGATTAAGATCAAATTTAGACCATCAGGATCAGCAGTCTTTCCATACCTGATGGTGTCTTGTGCTGAACACTTTGATCTGTCGTCCTGGCCGTCCTGTGGTAGCTAGCAGTATAGGTGTTGACTTTGCCCAACGAATGTCCCGTGCCCCTTCAGGGTGAGCTTGGCGCCTCTCCTGTGGCTGACTGTCAAAAAATCATTCAATCTAATTTGAAAACAAACAGATATAAAAATTGGCACCTTATACTCATAACCCCCGCACAAATGGTGTTAGACTATTGTCCCAAATGACAGATATATTTATAAGAAAGGTTTAAGCACAATACGCTGAAAACTTGATAATCTGGACACCTTTGTTCCTTGTCAAATTATTTGGTTTACAAGTTTTTCTGAATGCCACATTTAGTTGACCAATTGATTGAACTGGAGTATTGTGATGCTCTTGGTTGTTTCCAGAATGTTGTCACAGGTATTCATAATGTCTTTTATTGTCTAATCATGTTTCTTTTTGTCAAAAATAATTATATATGCATAAAAATTACCAAAGAGAAATTTGTTGTTATTCATTGTTGTCCAATATCCCTAGCAGTCCTTTGAATGTCTGCTCGATAACAATAATGATATTTTACTCAAAAACATCTAATAACCAATGATATATTATGATATGCACTAAATACGTATTATGCTTATTTTGGCATGATTTTGAAGCTAATTTTTCCCTCGAATAAGATAATTTGGTCTCATCTGAAACTAATCTAAAACAATCTGGATATATTACTATGCAAATTCAAATCCATTCCTAAAAGCATTTCCAGCAACAGAATTTGAATTTCTGAAGGGGATAGTACTATTAATGTTATGAACATAAGATATAAATAAAAGCTTCTTAACAGCCAAGAATGATTGATCTGTATTGTAGACATATTGTTGACATGCTTTTTTCACAAGCAGTGTCATATTTAACACAGTGCACTTATTGATGGGCAATCTGTCTGCCACTATCCAGGCTTTAATGAAGCTAACTTGATTGAGAGATCTGCCTGCAAGTCAGTGACAATTTCAGACCCAGGACTATATTATCCTAATTAAAATGACTTGATGTAAGGAATACCTAGATCTTGATAGGTGAAATATGAGCCATTCTGTACCAGCCACTGCAGCGATGACATCATCATCAAGTCTACTCCAGTCAGCACCCATCAGTGGAGATTGGCAACAGTCTAAAGACATGATCTGAAGCTGTAGGTCCATACTAAATATTTTGATAATGCCGTCTTTTTGTGCCACCATCACCTAAAATGAATTAAATCACATGAAATTTGAATTTTGATCAGGTCCTCCATTATACATTGCACTTCTCAAGTACATAATAAATAAAGAGTGATCCAATACTCCTAATGTAGAACTTTGTTGTAGATTCTTCGGTCAGATCCGCGTGGGATTCAATAGAGTTCCTTACCAAGAAAACATAATAAATAAAAAGGAAAACTCAACAACATGAAGACTTTTTGTGAAAATCGTCTACATGGTTCAGCCGCTATACAGCTGCCATCAGGACAAAAACTTATTGTGAAAAAATAGCTAAGGTGTGAAAAGTGTTTCAAGTAACATTATGACGTCACAGTAAAGCTGACATTGAAACAACGTTTAAAAGTTTTTGGTTATAATGTAGAAAATTTTCGTACACGCTGTGTACACTAATTGTCCAGTTTTGAAGGCAGACTTGAAGTTCGTCCTGTACATCTGTAGAAATGCCACTAAAGCTGTCATTCATGGATGATGCGTGGTTCTTGTTAACACACAGGTGGTCACTATTAGTGTTCCCGTTGGCATTTTCATCTTCAGAGTCAGGGAGATAAAGATCTGCTAAGGTGTCTACACCAATAGGTTCTGGATTAGGTTTATGACATGTTTAAAACATTTCAACTATAATAATTGTTTCAACGACAACTTTATGAATGAAAGCTTTAGTGGCATTTCTACAGATTTACAGGACGAACTTCCAGTCTGCCTTCAAAACCGGACAATTAGTGTACACAGTGTGTACAGAATTTTCCTAGATTATAACCAAGAACTTTTAAACTATGATAAGTGTTTCAACATCAGCTTTACTATGATGTCATAATGTAACTTGAACAGCATTCCACATCTTAGCTAATTTTTCACAATTAATTTTTGTCCTGATGACAGCCACTAAGCAATTTTCACAAAAAGTTTTTGTGTTGTTGAGTTTTCCTTTTTATTTATTATGTTCTCAAATACATGTATATGAACAATTCATACTACCAAGAACTATACTAAAAGCTTAATTCAATACAATTTCTAATAATCAATTTTTGAAGAAAGGGATTGATAAGAAAAAATGTGCAATAGAAGAAACAACACTGCAGACAAAGATTTCATAGCTCATTTCAACATCCCCAACCATAAGGATATGTACATCAAGATTACAGTATTTGTCAAATTGTGTCAATCAAACATAAATGAAGGGAAGATACAGACTCCAAACCATAAACTTTCTGATTAACCACTTGAAACTACTTTACAAATGATCTGACCTGTTCTTTAACCAGATGCTGACACTGTATAGTATAGTACATGCCTCTCATTTTTTGAGTCTGGTTAAGCACAACGTTAAACAACTGATAAAGAATGGATATGATGTTTTAAAATGCTACCACATTTGCAAAACCATGATGAAAACATGATGCAGAACTAAGTTTCATAAGATAGGAGATATGTGAGTAACTTAGATGTATAACAAAGCAAAGGAAAAACTGTGGGAGGGTCACAGGATCAATATTCTCATCATCATTTCAAATAACTTCAACAGAGAGCAATATGATATCTTTCTAAAGATGCCTTATCTGCTTATTGTTACATAGCCAAGTATAAAATATCGTTCTGACCAGCATTCAACTCCCAAGTTTTCTTCTTAGGCAAACAATGTTCTTACTGGTTTTACATGTCCACAGAATTTTCTCCAAAACCAATGTTGCATATAAATCTGTCGCTGAATAACAAAGAACTAAAACAAATTATACCTTGCCTGGCTCTTTTTCGTGGATACACACAGACATTCCTGGAGCACCAAGCTGAAAACTGGCATTGAGTTCATCTCCTACCCATAGCTTACAAGTCAAGTCATCCCCTGTTGAGGCCAGGGTCTCCCCGCTCTGGGGGTTGTAAGCCACAGAGTTGATAAAGTCAGTATGGCCTTCCAACAACTTGAAAAAAAAAGAATAAATGAAGTTCAGAATGAGATGTATATTATTAAAGCTTAAAAGTTTGTTTACCACTGCAAAGAAGGACGTCACATGCAATGCAGAATGAACAAAGGGGCATTACTCTGTATATATTCATGTAAATTTGGTACCAATAGTTCATATGGCAGCTACAATGAAAAACGCTCTAGTAAAATTGACATATACAAGATGAATCTCCTGCAGTAGGGTTTTGGGCCTAAAATTCAATTACATCATCTGAAATGAATACTGAACCAAACAAAAACTTTCCTCTTGAACTGAGCAATCTATGTAGAAAATGCCATTATCACATAATGCTCTTGATCTGCTACAAGTCATTTGGAGGATATGAAAGGCTTCAATTTGCTAATCAAAATCAACATTTAGACAATGTCTTTATTAAACAGAAAGTTTGTCTGATCAAAATCATACAAAATAAAAGTTGCAGTCTTGACTTTTTGTTTTTTACATAATTGCCTCTGGGTGAATAATGTTTGTAAACCAGGAGAAAATTGCAACAAATATCAAGACTTCTTAGGTTACTTAGACTCTGGCATAATACTTTCAGCTACAAGACATGGTAATGAGGAAAGTATTTTTGTAGGATTTTCTGTGGTGAGCAGAGTACCATTTTCAAAATTTTGATGACCCAGTTACAAAGAGATAAGTAGATTCTCAATATTTGGTTGAGTACTACAGGAAAAGCAGTAGTCCAGGACTCAAATATTTGAGTCACTAAAATCACTGTGAGAAAAACGTATGCACTTCTTCATCAACAAAATTATATGATATGACGACTGAAAAATTGTGTGCATTTGCCATGTCATTGGTTACACATGACAGCATTATTTGACTACCTCCACTGCATCTTTCTCTCGTAAATCTGACTCAAAAAGTTGTATTCTGTTGTTGGACCCAGCTACAGCAAATCTGAAAGTGAGAGATGACTGATGTTAATTCACAAGGAAAAATGAAAAGTTGATGGCAATAAAAATAAGACTAGTCTCCAACTCTTGAGTTGAAAAGTAATCAGTATTGCTTGATATTTCTAGTTAAGGAGACCTTGTGTTTGACAACGAAAGGAAATTTCCTAACTTTGTGTATACATTAAAAGGTTTAGACAGTGCTTATTTGTGGAAATGACTGGATACAACCAACTTATTGGCAAGAGACTACTGACCAGTCATAATGTATATTCTATATATTGCAAGAAACAATAATCCTTTATACTTATGCCTTTTTCCTCAGGAAATATAATTTCAAATATTTCAGGAATTCAAATGATCAGTTTAGGTATAATGTTCTGGGGTTGAAGCACTGTTATGTTTATCAGATAAAAACCATTGACAATCAATAAGTACACCAATGCAAGAGTTTAAGTATGCTTTACTGGTAATTATATGAATAAGGGTTAAAGAGCGAATTAAATTCAAAATAAATGCTGACAGGCTTTCATTTTGTCTCTACATTGAAAAACTGGGTCTATAAACAACTTAGTACTTTTGGCAATAAATTGAAATTGGAATATTTTTTAAATACTTACCGTATTTGATCCAATAAGCGCCCAGGGCGCTTAAAATATTGCAATTAAGAGGGGCGCTTATTAGAGACCATCTTAGACGTAAAAGAAACACATTCAGTACCAAAAAATCTGCTTCTACCAGGAACCTTTCGTCTCCGTTTTGAGGTGTTTTGTAAAGAAGTTTTCAATTCACTCTCTTTTGGTCTCAAATCGCGAATTCGCTTCCTATCTTTACCGTACTGCTTTGATGCTTTGCTGTTTGCCCTATTCCTTGGCCAACTACACAACTTTTAACTTGAAAGAAATTTGATTCGACTTGATTCAGCCCCCTTTGTGAGATTGTGATGTGTCTGTGGTCGCCATAATTTCAGTGTCAACCTCTATGTAACAAGGTGCACTATGTCATTATGTCCTCGTCAATAAATTGTTTCAGATCATCTTAACATGATGACACAAAAGGGAATTTGTTTATGATAAAGATACGAAATTCCATTCATACTATTTTAGCATAACTATTTTATCTGTCATTTGATATCCAACTGCTCCATTTGTTTCTGTCAGATAATCTATCACACATGAAAATATCATTTCTTAATCTGCTGTATCAATGGCTATCGTTACTGTGGCTGAGCGCGCGACACCAAGGTACACAAGGTAAAGGTCATCTACCATGTGGTTTAGGAATGTGTGAAAAAAATGTCTTTTATCTTATATCATGTTTATAGAGTGTTGGAAACAATTCATAGGGCAGTGTCTTGATACAGTTATAAGACCTTTCACTGTGACGTCACAAAATTACGTGTGTGAATGGTCTAATTTAGGATAATAATCCGTTTGCAATCAGAGTTGTGAAAGAAGGGAAAACAATGGGTCACATTCCAAATGAACTGTAAAAAACAGCGTTTTTTTTATCAGGCATAGTTGGGAAATTGTGTTAGTAGTTACAGAGGACACTAACGACATTTCTCTGTTGCTGGTGGAGTGAAGATTAACTGTTTTTTACGTTTTTCTGGAGTACATCTCCTTATAAACCGACTTAAAACACTTTTTGATCGTGACTAAAACGTAAGTAAATCAAGACTTTTAGGTATCTGAAGGGGGGAGGGGGCGCTTATAGGGACATGGACGCTTATTGGGTCGAATACGGTATTTGTGATACTGGCTATAAGTAAAGCATTTTGTAATACAAAAGTACCTGTGTGCTAAAATAATTGTTAAGTCCAGTTCTGAGTACATTATGCTTGTTAAAGTAAGGATTTTTTTAAAAGATAATAATTATTAAACATTTTAATGAGGATGTTCATGATCATTTGTTACAAGAGGTTGATATGATGATGTGTAAATGTACACATTAAAATATTACATTATATAGCATATATACATCTTAAAAGGCAAGTATGCAATGACAAACTTTCAACCAGAGATGCTCTTCTTGTGTTATTCAGTTATTTACATGCACCAATGATGTCTTACCTCAAGCAGTCTGCAACTTCTCGAGATTCATATGAAGTTTCAGGGCTCCATGATATAGCCGTCACTCTGCATCCATTTTGAAAGTCACGCACTTGTTTAAATTCAAATGGTTTTTCATCCTCAGACTCGTCCTACAATTTAGAAAAAAACCTAAACTGAAATGGTAATTATAAAAATATCCAAAACAGAACAATAATACAGCATTCCCATTATTTAATATGTGTATAGGTGACTATTTATGTATCTTTAGTAAAGATGACATACATTTATCACTATTACATTAGTCAACTTATAAACAACATTTCATTGTCCTCTGCTGTTTTAGTTTATTTTGTCTTTATGTTTTTATGTCAATAAAGTCAAATCAAGTCAATTAATAAGGCCTACCAATTTATCAGTTTGAAGAAAATTATTCAATTTGTCTTCTAGCTCATTTCATAAATATGTAAAATGGATAATGTATACATATGGCTTTGTTTATTCTTATCTCAATTACATGTCCCTGTGATCAGAGGAAGAAAATCACATGAACTCTGACACATTTGTGTAAAGGTAAGTCATATCGTGAATTAAACATATGTATTTACATCATATAAAATGGCAAATTCAAAATAACTGACCAGGACATGAACCTTTGTTATAATTTTTGGAGCAAACAGTATTCAAAATGTTCTTTATGAAGTAGACTTTAAGAGTAGGTCATAGGGTTCTGACTCACTCCACACAATGTTACTATTTTTTAACTTTTGTATTGGCCGTGACAAAGATGGAAAAAGTAAATTGTGGATAGATAATCGGAATCCTGTGGAAATAAACACAAATCAGTAGTTGTGTCTCTTTAAACATCATTGATAAGCAAGAGATCAATAACAGCAGCTTTCAAATCATTCATTCAAGAACTGATCTCCACAAATACACTTTCTTCGCTAAAATTGCTAAACAAACTACCAGACAAGGTTGTTCATGAAAAAACACTGATAAGCTCAAAACAAGCCCTGTATTCGAGGGACAAAATTACATACTCAGAGTCTCTCTTTCTTCCGTTGTGAATATACCTAATCATGCCCTGTAACTTGCATATCGAGATCCAGAGCCCTTGCGGCTCAGATACAAACAAAAGTTTACAAAGACTGGGTCAAATCAAGAAATGAACAAGTACCGATTTCGATCGGTACTTATTCATTTCATTGTCTATTACGTGCGTATATATAATTATCGGTAATTCTGTGCTATCAAATACTACTCTTTGTATCCATGCGCTGTGAGCAGGTGGACGAGACAGTGGTGTAACATTGACAAAACGTTTACCCTGAGGTCAACCCGGTAAATGGTAACTCTTGAATTTGTACCAACAGCCAACAAGTTTGTGCACCACTCAAACGGAACGAATTCATTCAAGAACTGATCTCCACAAATACACTTTCTTCGCTAAAATTGCTAAACAAACTACCAGACAAGGTTGTTCATGAAAAAACACTGATAAGCTCAAAACAAGCCCTGTACAGACAAAATTACATACTCAGAGTCTCTCTTTCTTCCGTTGTGAATATACCTAATCATGCCCTGTAACTTATCGAGATCCAGAGCCCTTGCGGCTCAGACACAAACAAAAGTTTACAAAGACTGGGTCAAATCAAGAAATGAACAAGTACCGATTTCGATCGGTACTTATTCATTTCATTGTCTATTACGTGCGTATATATAATTATCGGTAATTCTGTGCTATCAAATACTACTCTTTGTATCCATGCGCTGTGAGCAGGTGGAGGAGACAGTGGTGTAACATTGACAAAACGTTTACCCTGAGGTCAACCCGGTAAATGGTAACTCTTGAATTTGTACCAACAGCCAACAAGTTTGTGCACCACTCAAACGGAACGAATTCTACGACACTAACAATGTCATGACACGGTATAGTAAAACTGGCAGAATTTTCTGACATTTTCAGCGCGCCGGTTTAAACTCATACAAGTATACCTCTCAAGCAGAAGAGTTCTACAAGTTAACAAAGAGTGATCTCCCTTCAGGCGAATTGCCTCCGAAATCAAACACGAAGTTGATCGACGATCAACAGAGACACACAGTCGTCTTTTTTGTCTTTTTGCTTTTTTATTTGTTTGTTTATATTATTTTTCTGTTGTTTTTATCTATCATTGTTTTCATACAAAATCATTCCAAAAATAAATTTCTATCAAAAAGAGTCTTCTTTATCTATATAAAACGTTTCATCAAATCGACCAATTTTGTCCAAGTGAAAGGTCTTTTGTACACATTTTGCAATATTTTACATAAGCAGATTAATTTATTGAACAAGCATATACATAGGCATAATATGTGTATTTACCGTAGACAAGTGAGTTAGAAATTAAACTAATAGAGGACAATAACAATAAGCACACAAGTGTTTATTTTAAGTCTTTACACATTTTCTTAATGTTAATTTTTCGGTCTATAATTTGTTTACTATCTTGCCACTTAATTTTCGATCTAAGTGTACACAAGATTAAAGTACAACCGGAAAAATCGGAGATTTCTTACCATCTCGTACATTACGTACGTCAGTGCTAACATGCAAGGTGGATTGGGTTAGGGATGGGGGTGAGGTGGCCGCAGAACTCTACCGATGTTGTATAAATGGGAATCACGCTGCACACATGGATAATATTTGTAAAGTTCCTTTTTAATTGCAGCATCATGTTTCAGCTTTCGGCCAATTATATGCCATTTTTATCATATTCTATTTGTCCACTAGTGTAACAGTGGATTATTAACAGGTTCTATAATGTATTTTCTAGAGAATCTTAAATTCATCTGACTTTGTACAATCAGGTCAGTGAGAACCCAATGTTTGTGGATCGAACCTTATCCTGGACGATTACTCTTTCGAACGAAGCTGAGATCACGGACTAAGTTGTAGCTGTCAAGTGCTGACGTTATTGATGTTTCCTTGGGAAAGTCTGGATAGCAGAACCGGGTCCCATGCACGATGTTCTGCGAGCGCTCAGGGTAGCCATTATGCAGCTGCTACATATACAAAGAGCCAAAACCATCATAACCCAAACTCAAACACAACAAAAACAGAGCAAGATATCAGCTTGGTTGGAGAAAATGAGACTCATGAAGAAGAATAAGGAGGATATTGCAAGATGTTTAGGAGAACCTTCAACAAAACGGAGAGTTTTGACTCGAATTAAGGTATTTGACCTATGAACCATATTCGACACCAATTAAACAGCCAGCCTGGGATTAGTTGAGTCCCAAGATAGCGGCAGAAAATTATGTCGAAGACATGTATATTGGATAAAAGTCTTGTGTGGAAACAGTTTTTTTAAACTAAGACGAAGAATGATAAAAAAATTCAATTTACTAGTATGGCAATCGTGTTCTATGCACATATTTATGGTTCCTTTCGCACTAACACCACCGCAAATGCTCAAGGTCAGCTGACGATAGGTCTTGTGATTATTGTGTGTATGTCCAAATGACATTTTGAATATTTAGTTCATTCAAAATTATTTATTATATAGATAGCTTTATCTCTGACCCTAACCCTGCCAAAAAGATAGAAACTTCACCATTTGTGCAAAGTGTAGATTTTTGACTTTGATGTGTATCACCCTAATGACCTGGTGAACGATAGTGGACATAGTAGACCACCCTGTCATACTCCAAATCTTCATGTACACACGTGTCTTTCCTGTTATATACCAATCCCTAGTTCGCACATGCTGACATGTCCTTGAATGACTGTATCTATCAATCAGGACGTTAAATACAATATATCATATGACCGATAATTACTATACAAATTTTCCGACAATATATCATATACCCTATATACCCCAACATCGTCAATTGTTATTTTGACATTACTTTCTACTTTTATACTAAGACGGAGACTTTAAACACCTTATACAGTACCGTTCTAATAATGAGAGGTAGATGTGTAGATGCAATTTATAAAGTTGTGTTTAGGAGAAACATTAAGAGAAGAAAATTTGCTAGAAATATAAGACTTCCCCAGCACAATTCGTTGTTTGATGTTGTAAAAGCAGATGGCAATAACTTTACGGATGATCAAGAGATTGGTATGTGTGATAAGTGTTATAAGAATTATCAGAAAAGAAAACCACAACCTGAAAGTCAAATCGTTGATGTCGATGATGATTAGTGGCGAAACATCCCACTATTATCCATAGAGGATCTATTTTATGGACAGTCTTCCCAAGCAAAATGCAAACGTTGTTGTAAGAGATTCACTCAAAACTCGACATATTGCCCAAGCACGCAAAACACCAACTCATATATTATCAGAAGATGTGGTGTCCTTGGTCCTCACGTTTTTGATCACATCACTTATAGAGAAATATCTTAACCCTAACGTTGAAATCCGTACTGATAAAAGAGAATTGCTGACCTTCAAGCCACCTTTCAGATCACAGGAAATCATCAATGATTTCTTAGAGATATCACATATTCTATCAAAACAGAAGTCATCGTTTACTCTGCGATTCTCCTCTCTGGATGATGCAGATTATAAAGCCTGGAATGGTTGGGCAAGAACACAGTTTCTAAAAAAACTTTTTATTGTTCATTCAATATTGGCAGTGGTATTTACAATCCAAACCACGAGAATGCACTACTGTTGTTCTGGGTGAAATGGAAACGGACATATCATGGAAACAGTGTTCAATTCTTAAACATGTCATTTTCCAGTACACCGAAAACATTTGATTCCAGAGTAAAAGCATTAGAAATAACCGTAGTTCCTTTTTCCCTTGGACGCGAACATCTTACAAGTCGGGCAACTGTCAGACTCGACGGTACATATATCTTTATTCCTAAGAGTTCTGGTCACAAGCTCCAGAGAATCTCCTACTGTGGCCGAAAGAAGTGGAACTATTTCAAGTTCATAAGCATAACCTTGCCTGTTGGTTACATTCTGAAAACAGTAGGATCTGGTCCTGGAAGCGATAATGATGCGAAGATTACAAAAGTCATCATGGATAGTCTCTTCTGGCTGGGAAAATATGACAACGTCATTGTTGATCGAGGGTTTAGGGATGTTTTTGCCAGCTTTGTGGATAGTCTCTAATGTTTAGGAAAATATGACAACGTTGTTATTGATCGAGGGTTGAAAGATGTTTTTTGCAAGATTTGGAATCACGTGGTTTGACATTAAATACGCCGCCTTATCTAAAACCTGGCCAGACTCAACATGATGACCGACAAGCTAACCTAGACAGATCCGTAACTGAGTCCAATAGGTAGTGGATTGATATCACGGACGATACAAGCAATGGCTGTTTTTCAAAACTCAATTTGCTTCCAAATATTTCAATGATGTTATTGAGGAATTCGTTGGAATAGTAACAGACTGTCTCAATTGAATCCGATGACCCATATATGTTAAAACACAGGAGCGAGACGGATAGGATAGGGCGCTGAGTGCCAAAATGAAAGCGCGTCTCAGTGTTCACAACAATTTAGCTCAGTGTGTGAAAAATGAACCAGATCACACCAGAAGGGCTAAGTCACTATTTGTAAAACTAGATGCTAGTGCGGATAATTGTGAGATTCTAAAGTGGAATATCTTCAGGCAATATCCTCTTGCACATACCACTTAGAGACATTGTACGATGTCAGATCCATTTGAGGTGTAAGAGCAGTGTAACGCACACTGCTTGGGTCCAGCATGACAGGTCCGACGCTATTAATTCCATAAAGGGTTTTTATTGCCAGTATCGTATTGAACAGAGAACCATGGGTGTATGTCTCCACGTAGTTGGTATCATGTACTATTTAGGATACTACATGCATTTGGACAACAGTAAGCCTTTGTTTCAAAAAGCAAAAAGGTTTAGGACAAACCCAAGGTAATGTAGATTTCGCTACCAACCATCATCTTCAATACATTATCTGTGGTCGACTTGGACATACATTACTGTACGATGAAGACCAACACTGACATGACTAATCAGATTCTAGGATGAAGAAGTCTTATTGGTTTACATATTAGGTGGTTCACTGTGTAAACCAACTAAAATCTAGCAGCATTCTTGTAAGAACATTTAACTTTTGTGGTTATCCGTGGCCATTTTGAAATTTTAAAGTTTAGTTTAGTTTGTTATTAGCGTAGGTACAGTAACTGACCCTTTGTACTAATGAAATCAAGCATAAACATTCTATTTCAGTTCACTTTACAATACTCAATCCAAAACAGATTTTCCCCTTTGCTCGGATGTTCCTTTGAAAATACATATCAGTATTGTCAATCAATTTTGATTACTTTGCTCAAAACTCTTAATTAATATTTTGAGTAATTTATCTTATACTGTTTTGAAGATGTTTTAGCGCATAGGTACGAATGGACTCTAATAGGAAGTTGTATGTTTGACCTTCAGAAAATTTCGCTTAATGTGAAAAGAGCCTGTTCTTTCTCAAAATGCATCACATTTTTATTTTCTGTTTCCAGTGTTCAAAACTGTACCTTTTTGCTTTGTATATATAATATTTAACATATCATTATCAGCATAGTCATGTTTTAAAAATGAAGAAATGATATTGTAGCATTTCTTCCTCAAAATCATACATTAAAAAAAAATTCGCACAAAAAAGGGTGCAATATTCTTGCGTATACATGTTTGGACTTAAATGCCTGGTTGTGAATGTACGACTACAGAGGCTGCAAATAACACATATAAGCTGTTGTATTTACTTCTTAGGCCATTTTGAGAACCCACCATTGTATTTGTTGATAGGTACGGTTTTCTGTATATTTTGTACAATCTTTTATACAACAAAATACAACAAAATAACACATCATTTCAGATATATATATACTTTGTGTCTTAACTATAGAAAAGTGATACCATAACATCAATTTTCGTGTTCCAGTGTATGAACGCATACACAGCCACTATCGATAAAGTTTAAAACGTA